TTTAATGTTACGCCTATGTGCTTCTTTTACTTATTTGTTTATTTGGCTTATTTGTCCTTGACAAATAGAACACAGTATACCAATGAATGAAGCTTGTTTACTGGTATGCATGCATCAATCATTGGAGCAAATTAGAGTTGGTTATCTTGGTTCAAGGACATTCCCACGGCCATCCATGTCCTACTTTGAGACAAGGCACAAACAAGTCAAAGTCTGTATGCCGATGCACTTCATGTTTGTGTACCGTAAGTAGAAACAGATGAGCATCTTGATAGCTCACTGTGGTCTACAGATAAATTGACTGAAGTATTGTCACTTGAACCGCGTCACATAGTAGGAATGGTAGATATGGCTACATTTGGCTGTGTCTACACAGGCAGCCCAAATCTGATCTGATTTTATGATAGTGCGTTTTTTTATGGATGCTTCTTATTTACAGACCTATACGCAGAAAGTGTATCATGGGTGGAGTTGAATGACAGCCCCAGATGAAGGTCAATGTAGCAGACTATATCAAACTATGTTTCTCCAATGTGCAAGACAATTTAATAACATACAGTACTTATTCACTATGGACTAATAGTATCTCTGGGAAGCTTTAACCTTTTACTGCAGTGGGCTAAATCAGGGTCACACAGAGTGATTCTTGGTAGTCTTAAACAAATCTACTTTGAAACAAAAGTATATACCTCACACACATGGTTATGGGCTTAAAAAAGAAGACACCTGTACCATGTCTGATATAGTGTTGAAATGTATTACATTTTGAGTTTGCATCCCAATATTACACTTTATATACATCACAGAAGACTGAAATATAACAAAACTGTTTAAATAATAAAAAAGAATATGTCATTTAGCAGACGCTTTTATCCAAAGCGACTTACAGTCATGCGTGCATACATTTTTTGTGTATGGGTGGTCCCGGGGATCGAACCCACTACCCTGGCGTTACAAGCGCTGCGCTCTACCAGCTTACTTACTTACTTACTTACTTACTTTATTGTCCCCATGGGGAAATTTTGTTGCAGTGTCATGTACACATTTGAAGTGGCGTTAAATACAAAACAAGATTGACAATACAACTTTCAATAACAGTCACGCACCAATAAAAGTAAGAAATAAGAAATAAAACATTTAAAACATTTAAAACAAAGACTAGCCTGCTGGCCTTACGGGGTCAATGGGAACATTTGCCCGAGCTATTTAAGAGGGATATCACACCTGGCACAAATGATTGTCTGTAGCTGAGCTACAGAGAACAATAGAAACACCAGATTTTCATCAGGTTTTTGGAAATAATCTTTATTAATTATGAAATTATTAAGAATATTAATAACATTCCACCCATGAGGCCAAAGTGGGCACTTTTGGTCATTGACTGCAGGAAAGGGCTACATTCTTCTCCCAATAAGCACTGTGTTGTTATTGGCTGTTTTTCTTATAATTAAGTGCCCATTGCAGTAGATGGATTTTATCTAATGCTAATGTAGTGGATTATTATTATTTGCATTTAATTGTGTCTAGTCTGTGGGTACACCACCTTCTGCCCAAGCTAAAAGGGCTGTTATCTTATAGTAGTATGATACTGTTAGATATAGTTGAGACTATCTTAAATACAGTGTTTCTTACACATGAACTATATTGTTTGAATGTAATTATGAAATGTTGAAATAGTCTGGATAGAATTTAAAAACATCTTATAAGCCAGAATTTTATTGCAGTGACGTGGAGATAATTTTACAGATCCACAATCATAATTCCAGTAACCTACTATTATTCTTCAAATGGACACATCCAAATATTTCAGCTACTTTAACTTATCTCTAAAACAGGTGACTCTAATCTGCCAGTGACTCTAATCAAACAGTTGTTTGACATTTACCCCCCAATTTAAAACGTTAAGCTTTTCCAAGTACGGTCTCTGCTGAATCATGACTGACATCAATAGATTCTCATATGAAATTGTGCTCCCCCATGAAAACTCAATTTATATCCATTTGATTCTACAATGTCAATGAAAACAATAACACATTAGTGCATAAGACTTAGATTTTAATAGTTGTATACTATTTCCACATCCTGAAAAACTGCCATTTCACATCCACAAGCATAACATATAATAAGCCAGTATATATGTGCATACTAGCAAGGGTAAATATAATAATGTTTTGATTATGTTTGCCTTACCTTGAAAATAGAGGATGGGGTGATCTCACTTTGTTACATCCCTGCTGTGTAGCATTGAGGTGAATAAGAGTGAAAATCAACAGAACACTGTTATCAATATGGCCTACTCTGCTGGAGCTGTTGGCACTTTACTCCTAAACAAGAAAGGAAGCAAAAAAAAATAAAGGGTTATTCCTTATTTTGCATCTATATACACAAACAAATCTAAAAATCTCACTCAGTTTTGTTTTGAATACATTCATATTCACATATATTCATTTCTATATATATATACAGTACGCATATTGTTAATTGAAGCATTTTGACAACTACTTGATACATTTTCAGTAAGAATCTTGAAAGATTCATCATTTATAGGTCAATTCAATAAAGAAAGTGGCTTACCAAATTAAATGGAGATGCCTGAGAATTGCGACACTGCTTTTGTGAAAGATGTTGAGAAAACTGCAATGACTACTGCAAAGTCTATAAACAACTGAGGAGGGGTGGAAAAGGAAGATTCACAGACTCACTTTGGAACTACAGTTTGTGTCTGAGCTAGTTTGGGCAGATTAAAGAATGAGCAGGACCATTGAGCAGAACAATGATAAACACAGAAATCCTCTTGATGAGCATGCATATATTACAGACGAGGACAAAAAACTACAATAGTTTTATTTTAGATTCAGCCATACACTTGATAAATTGACAAAAGGATTATAGAGATTCTATAAGGACATAATTTGATGTTAAAAAGGGGCATGAAAGACACAATATATACCATCCCTATAGGGACATTAAAAAATTAAAAAATGGTCCACTTAGTCTCACGGAATTGCACATTTTGTTTCCTGATATAATTATTGCTTTCAGTCTCCTGATGCCCTAAATCAAGCAAGCGCACGAAGTCCCATGATTATGTGCTTTGATGCTCTGTTAGCCAATGAAGTGGATACAGGCCCAAAATAAGGACACTAATGTTCCATCTTCCCATATGTTGTTTACCTGAAGGTTGAGTGGTGTACACTGAACTATAATATGGTGCAGGAGCACAAAAAACGACATATCCCGTAGGCATTTCCCGTAAACCTGCGCATGAAATAAATAACTTTTGCGCACGCGCAACCATTACTGCTCGGTAGCTGATACAAGAAACCCGAAACTGACCAGTGGTTTGGGTGGTTAAAACATATACTGCAACGGATTGTCATCGTTATCTGACACAACATAGTCTGGAAACATGTCGGGAGACGACGAGGTAACTAATCGAATTTTAATAAGTGATTTACCATTGTAATTCGTACTCATGAGAAACGTCATTATGGCCTACACACGTGTGAGAATGAGGCAGCTAGCTACGGTCTAACGTTAGCCACCCCTTATATGGTATTGCTGGTTAGATGGCTAGCTAGTTGCAGTTAGCTTCTTCATCTCAGTAAAATGGTCAGTAAAGCCCTAGATATGTAGCTAACAATTTGTCATTGTGAGAACTTGTCCGATCCAATTTAGATATTTGTCTGACCGTTGGTGGTTGTCTCTTGGTTGACGATGCAATACCTATCTAACGTTAGTTAAATAACGACAGTGTTTCATTGTATGTTCTGTTAGTGCTTCGTCGCTGTAAACTACGTTACCCAGCTAGCTTGCTTGTTCCCGCAACGAGCCATTTACAGATGTCTCTGCGGAAGCTTCTGTAGCCTGGCGTCCGGCTTGATCAAGCAAACCTAAATTATTCGGTTTCATCAAAATAACGTTTCCCGTCAACAGAGGCATATCCAATATCTCTAGGAACAATAGTTACGATTCGTTGGGTTGAATGTGTCCTTCGATATCAGATAACCGTTTGAAACACGTTATCCAGGGTCTCCCATTTTTGCTGAAATTGTAGTCCATTCTAGACCACACAGTCCAAGAGAGTAAACGACCATGTAACGTCCCACTTCTACAGGCGGAAAATGGGAGACCCTCGATAAATGTTTTAAACGCTTATTTGATAGCGAAGGACACATTAGAGCCCTTCACAAGCATGAATGTTAAGCCCTACCCATGCCGGCGACGTTCAGGGCCTACACAGGCCCGATTTGCTTCTGCCAAATTTAAGGCCCTGTCCTACCCGAAATCAGAAATAACTTCCTCCATTAGTAAATCCATTAGCTGCGCTTTTCTGTCTGTCATTGCACACAGCTAGCTCTGCTCATGGCAGCTCTGAGTCTGTGAGTGTCCATAGCAACTGCTACGCTGAGGCAGCTCTGCGCAATGAATAGACATGAGAGAGCTGTTAGCTACTTTTCATTACTCTAAACTCTGACAACTCAAGGAACATTATTATTCTCCTGTCTTATATTTGACAAGGTTGAAGCATTTCTGACACCATGTTATGATCTTAGTCAGATATGATGTTACTGCAGAGCATGAGCAAATGGCTCAGCTTCAAAATGTTAGTGATCAATTTAGTGATGCCCTGCCCATAACCTAGTTATTTAAGAAAAAACAGGCCCTGCCCTAACCCAACGTATACTGTCGGGTTCTGTCAGGCAGCAGAGCTCTAGGACACATTCAACCCGACCAATCATAAGTATTGTTCTTAGAGATATTGGGGTATGCCTCTGTTGACTGGAACTGTCATTTTGGTGAAACCAAATAGATTAGGTTTAGTTGATCAAGGATGCCAGGCTACGGAAGCTTCTGCAACGAGCCATCTGTAAACAATCGCTCGTTGCGAGACGAAGCAAGTTAGCTATATTTGCAAGATATGATGCTGACACAGTCAAAGGGGTCAGTCATTCGTAACACGTTCCCTTTGTGCTGTGCAGATGATATTTGACCCCAACATGTCCAAGAAGAAGAAGAAGAAGAAGAAGCCTTTCATGCTGGATGAAGAAGGAGGGGACGGTGCCAGTGAGGATGCTCCACAGCCAGAAGCGAAGGAGGTGGAGGTGGATGGAGGAGAGGACAGAGAGGTGGACTTTGACGAGGATGAGGGAAGGAGGAAAGGTGAGGAAGTAGGAGGGCCCTCAGGGGCCTTAACATAATATGAACTGAAAAGGTGAATTTGCATGTAGTCTGACTTGTGTAAGACCTTTTGTAAGTAAGGCTTTTTAATCTTGGTATGTTTTCCAGAAATCTCTGATGATCTGGATGACTTGAACTTCTTCAACCAGAAGAAGAAGAAAAAGAAAAAGGCAAAGACATTTGACAATGACGTAGAGGAGGGAATGAAGGTACGTTTTGGGTCAAGTGCCCAGAGAGCTGGCCATGTGTAGAATGTTGACTTTATTTGAACAAGTTTTCACAAGTGTCTGTTAAATGACGGAAATGTAAATATTTGACTTAATTACTAAATTGATTCCTGTCAACCTTGTAGTTGGTGGACATGTCTCGTAGATAGGGATAAGATGGATCCTTGCATTTGTAGCTAATTAAAGTGTTTGTTTAATTAGACACTGAGTGTACAAAACATTAGGACATAGACTGACCAGGTGAATCCAGGTGAAAGCTATGATCCTTTTTTGATGTCACTTGTTAAATCAATCCACTTCAATCAGTGTGTAGATGAAGGGGAGGAGACAGGTTAAAGAAGGATTTTTAGTGTCTCTAGGCTTAAATACCGTTTAAACTAAAGTTAAAGTTTTTCAATATATTTTAATATTTGTAGCTCTTTTTTAAGTAAATACCTGCAGTCAACTTGTGCAATGCGTTAGGAGATGAAGCACATTGCGTTCTTATTTCACCTGTCACGTTATTTTACATTATGAAGCTTACCGTAGTTCCCCAGCACAGTTGAGCCAGTTACGTGTATGTTTGTAAATAGCACAACAGGAGAAAGTGGGAGCAGGTGAGTCCAGCTGTGTATTGACAGGGGTCGCGTTTTATATTGAAAGTCAATAGTTTTTTTGGCTTCAATAGAGTGATCAGGGACCTGCAACTATAGTTTTCCTTCACAGAAAATACATTACTGCAACACATTCGGCATAAAATAGCTTCATTTTCATCAGGTGACAACAGAAGTGCAACGCTATTTGGCTGGCAGCCACACAAGTACATGAGCTTACAATGAAAAAGCAAAAACGGTGCATGGCCATCATATTTCTAATGTTTAGGCCTATCATAGAAAGAATGTAGCCAGCTACATTTCCTAATGTTTTGCTTAAAGTTAATCTTGCATTTTACTGGAGAAAAATGGCTACACCAAGAAAAGTACCAGAGAAAAGTAGCGACACATCAGTCAGAGCGCTGTCTGCTGATGGAATGCCCATTTGTGAATTCTCATCTGAGTTTTTAAAGTCCAACTGAAGCACAAAATTAGTCTGATGCCGAGCAGAAATTACAATAAGAAGCATTTTAGATCTGTGTTTACAAAACGCAGCAAAATATATTTCTTGCGTTTTAACTGTTTTTCCTGCGTGAAAAATTCAGAATTATGCGTTAACACGACCCCTAGTTTAACTTGCTTTCTAAGTAAGTGGCTGAATGAATAAGGTGATGGGGTATCACATTGTGTTAGCTTTCTACTGTGTTTGAGAAGTCAAAGACCTTTTGGATGAGATATCTGTACAGCGGCCACTGCTATCTTGATTTCCTTGTTTTTTTTTCTCCTATCCGTTCTGGCCCGTTTGCTCCTCTTCTCAGAGCAGACAGGCCTGTTGCTCTAGCGACTCCAGACTCCACACAGACACAGCTTGTAGACACAGATAGGGTTAGTTATACAAATCTTTGGTGTAGGTAGACATGCTGCTGGAGAGCCAGTACTGCATGCGTCAACTTTGTTCATATCTCTCGTTCACATTCACTTATAAATGTCCAAACTCACCAAAAATGACATTCGGTAGCTCCTTCCTATGTATGTATAACTTTATGAGCTGGATTGCAATTTGTTTATTTTCGTTTGCACTCATTAGCATATTTGGCTAGCAGCGTCCATTTTTGAAATTCGTGATTACGTGTGCAAATTTAGTTCGCATTTTGGTAATGGACACCCAATGGGCTTTTTGGCATTTTTGGCGCCCCTTGTGTACTCAACTGGTAATACCGTATATCCCGGGGTGAGAGAAGGACAGTATGACGACATGAAAATCTGGATACCGCCCAACCCTATCCATCACCCAACGGACATCCAGCCAACTTGACACAACTGTGGGAAGCATTAGCGTCAACATGGGCCAACATCCCCGTTGAACACTTCTGACACCTTGTAGTGTCCAATTGAGGCTGTTCTGAGGGCAAAGGGGGGTGCACCTCCAATATAAGGAAGGTGTTCCTAATGTTTTGTACAATCAGTGTATGACTTTCTGTGTCGTGCCTTGACATGTATAGGGGTTACATTTCTCCTGCGATGGATTTCAGTCATATGGATTCTGGAGAGGTCGTTTTTGAGATCAGTGTAGATCCGCACTAAAACATCTCCGTGGGTTTGGAGATTACATAGCCTAATACAGACAGAATCTGTTCTACAAAATATATTCTCAAATGTGTTCTCAAGTATTTCATTTTTTCTGTTACGCTGTGTGCACTGAACTGACGTGCATGATTGTTGATCACACAACGATGTTCAGATGAAGGGAATAAAACATTTTCTATAAAGCGCACCACAGCAGTGCTCAACTCACAGTGGTGTGTAGCCTACTGTAGCTGCTGGAAAAGTCATTCAACGCCTGTACTTCCATCACTCAGGATGGAACTTTCCAGTGCTACTATTTTTGCCATATTTTGTTATTAAAACAAAGTCAGACAACCTCATAGTAGAATAGTTTACCTATTTACCTAGTTGGCTTGTGTTCTATGCAAGACAAATATTCCTCTCGAGGCACATTCAAGTTGCGAGAGCAATAGGAGGGAAACATGTATTCTGACAAGCAGTCAATGCACAACTATTCTAATGCAATCGCAGGAAAACGTGTTTGAAAGCAGTTTTGGCCTTTGCAAAAAAAGGGAAAAAAGGACGATCCCTGTTTTACATTGCCAGCACATTTATTTCTGCACTCCAATTGTGCGTGGAATCTTTTTACAAATGCAGTTTTACAACTGGAGTTTCAAGCATGGTTTAGGCACAGCAAAGCAACAGAGCTCTTAAAGGGGCAATGACATTGAAACAAAAAAATATAATAATAATTAATAATTGTTTATATATTTATAATTATTCATAATTACAATCAGGATGTTGTATCCAAAGGGGTAGATGGACAAATCCCATGCTTTAACCTATGTACATTTTATAGCCACTATGCTTCATCAGTTGGGCTACAGGTGATAATGCTTATTGCTAATAGCACATCTGATAATATACACCATGCTTAGGCTATACAGTGCATTCGGGAAGTATTCAGACCCCTTGACTTTTTCCACATTTTTACGTTACAGCCTTATTCTAAAATTGAGTATTTTTTCCTCATCAGTCTACACGCAATACCCCATAATGACATAGCAAAAACAGTTTGTGAAAATTTTGCAAATGTAATGAACTGAAATCATATTTACGTAAGTATTCAGACCTTTCACTCAGTACTTTGTTGAAGTACTTTTGGCAGCGATTACAGCCTCTTGGGTATGACGCTACAAGCTTGGCACACCTGTATTTGGGGAGTTTCTCCCATTCTTCTCTGCAGATCCTCTCAAGCTCTGTCAGGTTGGATGGGGAGCATCGCTGCACAGCTATTTTCAGGTCTTTGAGGGGCCAATTGGGTTCAATTCTGGGCTTTGGCTGGGCCACTCAAGGACATTCAGAGACCTGTCCCGAAGCCACTCCTACGTTGTCTTGGCTGTGTGCTTAGGGTCGTTGTCCTGTTGGAAGGTGAACCTTCGCCCCAGTCTGAGGTCTTGAGCACTCTGGAGCAGGTTTTCATCAAGGATCTCTCTGTACTTTGCTCCGTTCATCCTTACCTCAATCCTGATTAGTCTCCCAGTCCCTGCTGCAGAAAAACATCCCCACAGCATGATGCTGCCACCACCATGCTTCACCGTAGGGATGGTGCCAGGTTTCCTCCAGATGTGACGCTTGGCATTCAGGCCAAAGAGTTCAATCTTGGTTTCATCAGACCAGAGAATCTTGTTTCTCATGTTCTGAATGTCCTTTAGGTGCCTTTTGGCAAACTCCAAGCAGGCTGTCATGTGCCTTTTACTGAGGAGTGGCTTCTGTCTGGCCACTAGCAAAAAGGCCTGATTGGTGGAGTGCTGCAGAGATGGTTGTCCTTCTGGAAGGTTCTCCCATCTCCACAGAGGAACTCTGGAGCTCTGTCAGTGACCATCGGGTTCTTGGTCACCTCCCTGAGCAAGGCCCTTCTCCCCCGATTGCTCAGTTTGGCCGGTCGGCCAGCTCTAGGAAGAGTCTTGGTGGTTCCAAACTTCTGCCATTTAAGAATGATTGAGGCCACGGTGTTCTTGGGGACCTTCAATGCTGCAGAAATGTTTTGGTACCCTTTCCCAGATCTGTGCCTCGACACAATCCTGTCTCGGAGCTCTACGGACATTTCCTTCGACCTCATGGCTTGGTTTTTTCTCTGACATGCACTGTCAACTGTGGGACCTTTTATATAGACTGGTGTGTGCCTTTCCAAATCATGTCCAATTAATTGAATTTACCACAGGTGGACTCCAGTCAAGTTGTAGAAACATCTCAAGGATGATCAGTGGAAACAGGATGCACATGAGCTCAATTTCGAGTCTCATTGCAAAGGGTCTGAATACTTATGTAAAGGTATTTCGGTTTTTTATTTTTAATAAATTTGCTAACATTTCTAAACCTGTTTTCACTTTGTCATTATGGGGTGTTCTGTGTAGATTGAGGAAATGGTTTTATTTAATCCATTTTAGAATAAGGCTAACGTAAGTGGACAAATTCAAGGGGTCTGAATACTTTATGTATGCATGGTCCAGTATGTTAAAATAATTTTAACACAATTTTTACCAGTGTTATTGGGCCCATTTCTGGAGGTAGACATTATATTTTATATGGTTTCAGCATCATTTTGTCATTAATTTTAGAGTAGAATGTCCTTTTAAAAAGTAACCAGAACTGAACTTCTCAGTTCCTGGGAGGACCCCAGGAACCCCTAAGCAAGGGGACTGGAATTGGTCAAATACAAATTGGTTTAATACATGTATGAAATGATCCTCTTTCCCTAAAAGCAGGATGGTCATGACTTTCTTAACCTCCCCTTTCATGTAAACTTGGCCCCAGACAATCGATCTGAGATAGACTTAAGTTTCAGTCATGGGATATTTTTTTTGCTTTAACCCCTGTGTGTAATATGTATTCAATTGACTGTATTCTATAACTGTCCATGCACAGGAGCTGAAAATTGAGACCGAGCCCTCTGAAACCAATGAAGAGGACGACTTGATGTTAGAACTAGGAAAAAAGAAAAGGAAGTCCAAGGCTGTGAATTTCGACATGGATGACGACATGGAAATCAAAGACGACGGTGAGCGTACCGAATTCACAGGCTGGATAAATGTTGCAAGCCATAATATGTTACATTTAATGCTACCAGCATGCAAACTGCATTTTTGGCCTTTGTCATACCTTTGTGGTTTAAAGCCCAGGAAGAGGATGACGTAAAGAACACTGACGACATTACGTTCAGCAGCACACGGTTGGGCCCTGCGTGGGCGGGCTCAGAGAGAGACTACACATATGACGAGGTACAATCTGAGTCTGTGGGTCAGGAGACTTGCCTTTTAAAGCTGCAATATGTAACTTTTTGGGCGACCTGACCAAATTCGCATAGAAATGCGAGTTATAGATCTGTCACTCATTGAAAGCAAGTCTAAGAAGTGGTAGATCTGGTCTGTGTGCTATTTCTATGCTTCCAATTCTTAAGTGTCGTTTTTCCGTCTAACTTTCGGTTTTGTACACCAGCTGAAAATACAATATTTTGGGTTATTGAAAATGTATTTCACAGCGGTTTAGATGGTACAATGATTCTCTAGACTGCTACTTTGCTTGTTTTGTCACATAAACTGAAATTTGGCAAACTATTAGAATTTTAGCAACCAGGAAATGGCGGATCGATTTCTGCATATTGCACCTTTTTAAGATTTTAGAGAGGAATATTACACCAGAGTTATTACCCACTGAACAGAAAAAAATTACCTAGACATTTTCATCACAGAGACCTAAGATTAACGACAAGACGTCAGGTCATCATGACCTTGAATAAATGTTTAGTCACGTCTTCATTAGAAAAGTATTGGTCACATCTTGTTGAAGCGAATGTCTTTCAGTGGTGTTTCCCAAGTATTTCTTCCTAATATCCAGGCTGACTCATCTCCCTCCATTGTAGCTGCTGAACCGTGTCTTCAACATCATGCGGGAGAAGAACCCTGACATGGTGGCTGGGGAGAAGAGGAAGTTTGTCATGAAGCCTCCCCAGGTGGTCCGAGTGGGCACCAAGAAGTCGTCCTTCGTCAACTTCACCGACATCTGCAAACTGTGAGAATATGCCACTACCATGGGATGCCCTGTTGCCATTTTTAGAGATGTTGAGGTTTTATGACTTAGTCTCCCTTGTTGAATATCATTATTTTGCGTCTTTAGTCCCCTTACCATCATTCTTCTCGACAGGTTGCATCGGCAGCCAAAACATCTCCTGGCCTTCTTGTTGGCTGAGCTTGGAACAAGGTAAGGTTTGGGTCAGCGAGTGTTGAAAAGCAGTTATCTGCTTCATGTTTCAAAAATTATTAGAAAATGAATGTGTATGGAGGATTATACATTTATGGCTGAAACTGTATTATTTTTATTGCAACAGTGGCTCTATAGACGGAACTAATCAGCTCATCATCAAAGGAAGGTTCCAGCAGAAACAGATAGAGAATGTCTTACGAAGATATATTAGTAAGTGTTCGTGTTGACAATTGTCCTACCTTTGTACACCTCTCTGAACTCGTGATTTAATTCTGAGTTCAGTTAATCATTGCAAATGAGAGAATGATGATAATTTACTTTACTTAACATTTTTGGTTTAATATGATAGGGCAGGGACTTGTTATTTGCTAGCCATGTTCATAACAAGACCTGCTTGGTGGTTAGATGTTTTTGCGAGGGCATAATATTTTTTTGACATCTACAAATCCCTACATATTATGCGAGGGCGTAAATTTTTTACCAATTACCTCGCTATTTCCACATAAAACAGTTAAATCAGTGCAATCTTATCGCATAAAACATACTTATCACCGCAGTACAAAAAGCGGGTTTGCAATTTCAAGCAATCACCTGACCTTCACAGCATAATATGGTTCAATCAAACCAGATGTGAACACTTCCCAGTCTCACCCAACTTTTTCTATCCCCCTCTTCAGAGGAGTATGTGACGTGCCATACATGCCGCTCCCCTGACACCATCCTCCAGAAGGACACAAGACTCTACTTCCTGCAGTGCGAGACCTGCCACTCCCGCTGCTCCGTCGCCAGCATCAAGGCAGGTTTCCAGGCAGTCACAGGCAAGAGGGCACAGCTCCGTGCCAAAGCCAATTAAAACCACCACCGCTGCCCCATCTCTCCCCCCTCCGTGCTCTGTTTCTCTCTCAGAAGCAGAGTGGACAGGATGGGGCAGGCTGGACGCTTTTATGGACTGTCTGTAGATTTGTTACCTATTGTAAAGAAATGAATAAATCGCATACCACCTGGGTGATCACACGCAGTCTATATTTCCTAATTCCATGTCGTCACTGTGGAGGACCAAGGTAATGAAGGCTCAACTTAATATAAGCATTGTTTACTCTATACTACTTTGAAATCCATTATTTTGTTCAGACCATCCCTGTTTGTGCACCAGGTTTTCTTAGCTTCCAAAAGTATGAATTCAGTATTATGAATGCCAAATTTGAAGGGCCTATATTAGGGTATTTTCAAACAGACATCCTGTTACGTAAAAAAACGCAGGATGTCAATGGGATCATTTGCTTTGGGGGAATGCTTACGGTTGTGTTACACTGTTGTGTCAGAAACGTTGCTAAGAAGTATGTAAACCAATTGAAAACTTAGAACAGCATTTTAAACAATTCTCACCACCGCGCTGCAATGTAGGACATGTGTTTATGGTTTAAATGCACAATTCAATTTTGTGCAGCAAATGTTTTTTAGGGCTCCTTTTCAGAGGTAACCATATCCTGGGCAGGTCTCGAATAAGTCAGAGAAAAAAAATAAGTATTTTTGCCAAAGATACGATGTGAATTCTGGCCCCAGCATGGTTTTCTCAGCGGGATGCATTTTTTATAAATATGACAACACAAAATATTTTTCTCTCCTGTTGACTTGAGATAAGTTGGAAAAGCAAGGATGAGAGATGGTCTAAGTTGTACACCTGTACGACGACGTCAATTCCCTCAGTCTGACGTCTTTTTGTGAAGTCAGGTGGCGGTTGTATTTCGGTTAAAAATTGATCTTTTAATATTTCAATATAAAGTCATTCTAAAGATATCAAAGATGTCTGCCATATTCAACCAAAATATGACTTTTACCCATAGAATGATGGAGGCCTCGTGGCCAAAAGGCCGTATTAGCATGAGCAGTGCCATTTGAAGGTTTCAACCATTTTAATGTAGTCAACTGGGTGGGACTTCCAACTTCATTGGCTGATCCCTCCTGGAGACTCTGTTGGAGTCATGTCCAACCGGATCATCAGGAGGGATCAGCCAATCGTGAAGAAAATAGCCTCAATGGCGCTGTCATAGACGCTGTAATGGCACAGATATGGTTTAACCCATTAACTTTCACATAGATTTTAGTAAAAAACTTTAGTAGCATCCTCTTTAATAAAATAGTTAATATGGAGGCAAGGAACGCTAACAAGGCGCACTGTTGTCTTATTCTCTCTCTAATCGACTCCATCTCACTGAAAGGGGGTGTGTTCACTGGCAGCTGTTGTGACAGGATTCATAAAAATGGTTTCACTAAGGATGTGCTTAATCCAATGATTAACCTTTACAGGATCAGTGTCCCGTATACAGGACGGTTGAGGTAACGTGCGCTAATGTGATCAGCATGACTGTTGTAAGTAACAGCAAACTTTCCAGGACATAGACATGTCTTATATGGGCAGAAAGCTTAAATTATTGTAAATCTAACTGCGCTGTCCAATTTACAGTAGAAACTTTGCACACACTGCTTCCATCTAGTGGCCAACATCTACACTGCAATATATTGTGGCCAAAGATGGAACAAAATAAAATAAAAAATTCATGTTTTTTTGTTATGTGTTATTCTCCTACATTAATTTCACATTTCCACAAAGTTGAAAGTGTTTCCTTTGAAATGGTATCAAGAATATGCATATCCTTGCTTCAGGTCCTGAGCTACAGGGTATGTCATTTTAGGCGAAGATTGAAAAAAAGGATCTGATCCTTAAGAGGTTAAAGGCCCAGTGCTGCTCTCTCACAGCCTCCGCAGCAGCATGTGCTCCCATGTGGCCGCTCCTGGTTAACATCACCGTACACTCCGAGACGAGGTGAGGCACTCATGAATAATGAGCGTGTTTTCTGGCCTGACCTTGTCAAGGCAGAGCAGAAGGCTCTTTAAAACGACCACATATTTCCACATAGTCAAGGGATGGAAATTCTTGGAAGGTGAGCTCCAAATCCTGATAAGACTTAGACGTTGGAGAGTTAAAGGTTCGCTCATCCAAGTCATCTGTACCTTGAAAGAACATTTAAGTATTATTACAAATCAATAATGATAAAATGATGTAGCTAGTTGCACAAGACGTACTCCCTTCAGTTTGTCTCCGCCAAACATTTAGGCAACCCTTACCTCAGATTGATGTATGCCCAATTAAAACATATCTTGTTAGTGTCACAAACCTTGGCCGAGAAGTAATGGAGATAAAAGTAGTTAGCGATAATTGAGTGACTTGCACACGTTCTGAGGTAGCCCCAGAGCACTGCAGTGCGCTGTGTTCATGATGTGATGGATTACACTGAACAAGAGTTCATTCCTGGGGGCCTTTCCACATGCATTACTAGATGTGTTAAACTAGAGAGAGTGAAATAGCCAGCATGAACTTCCATAATGTCCCGGGGTGACCCTAACTGTGATAGCATCATACCGGAAGCCTGGGTAATTGGGCTCCTTAAATGAAAAATGAACGTTTTAATGCATAATGTCAGAGAAATTGCGCTGCTATTAACCAAGTATAAAGTATGCCATTACTCAATAGGGCTATACTTCTGACAACAGTTGGAAGAAGAGGATACTTCTTTGCCCAGGGGAGTTGGTAGGAGGTAATTGGTTGAGCTGTATGGTGCATGTGTACAGTTCACACATTGATGTTTTTCAGTTGTAGCCAATAAAGGCTTTTTTCATAAGTAGTACTTACATAATCAGGATAATGGTTGTGTAGGAAGTCACACTATGCTAATTGCCTGGGATTGAGAAATGACAGGGTAGAAGGCTTACCTATTAATTGTTATTTTCTTCAAGTTTCATTAAAATAATCATTATGTGGCAACCAGAACCAGGAAGTTAGCAATTGTGTCACCTGGGAAATACCCAACTAATATCATAAGCATTACTTATTGAACATGCCTAAATAGAGCTTTATAAATCAAATAGCAGCCCTGACTAGTGTTCACTTACTAACTTGCTGTCAAACTGGCATTCCATCTGTTCTTTATGCAGGCCAGCCTGTTCCCCATCTTCCCAAATACTTTTTGTTCTGCCAATCCTGTTCAGGCAAGGTGAGGTTGAACACGGCCTTGCTCAAGTGAAAAATCTAGAACTTCCACCTTGATATTAAACAGAGAGCCAGGACACCTGGATATTTCTCAAAGCAAGATTATTAATGACTTGCGTAAACATTTTGAATCAATCCCATATTCTCTAATAGTCAAAGCAAGCTAAACTTGAAACTGGGTCAATCCCAGCAGGCAAAACTGGTAGCAATGACTGGTCAGGTTGTATACTGTCTGGTTGTCTAAAGAAGTTTAGATAATGTCTTGTTAGCAACCAGAAAAATACGTATTTATTTAGTTGCAATCTGGTTATATGTCGTCTTGCCATGAAAAATATTTACCTGATTGTAACAGAGACCAGTTGGTGGTAATCTGGTTATATTATGGGCTCTATTAAATCTGTATCACTGAAGCGTTACAGATTGCGAAAAACATTTAAAGGCAGTTTCCGATTGAGCTGACATGTGCAGCGTTTACTGTGAATGCAGTCTCTGCTAACGCGGGAACATTGCCTTTAAATTTCAATCACGCTGTAACGCTGAACTTCCGTGATAAGAATAGGGCCTTTTGTCTTCTTAACCAGATAATTGCATAAGATGTGTTCCACATATTGCCTTCTGGGGTATATTACTGACCTGTTAACTCTAACCCAGTGGTAAACTCAGACCAGAAACGTTGTTAATACTTTCATTTAATGTCAGTTAGCTTACTCCTTCACCCTGCTTCATGAAAACCCTGCCAGGTTGTGCAGAGATATTTGAAAGGATATGTGCAGTGAAAGCACAAGGCCAAGTCACAAGTTCACAGTTTATTTACATGTGTAAAGATCTCTTTCAGAGGAATATGCACAGTCATTAAAAATAACAGTTGAACCGATCAGCATATAAATAAAAACAAGACTGAAGGGGAGATAACGGGAAGGATGGACAAGAAGTGATGGTCAATTGGAGCGATCTGTAGCATACAGTAGCATTCCTCAGTTTGAAATGTTCTGCTCGTTTTGGACAATTGGGAACCGCATGGTTATAGATTTTTTTTTTTAAGTCCTTAATTCCTGTATTAATTGTCTGGTGGTGTCAGTCGGAGGTGTAATGGCCTTTTGAGATCTCAGTTTGAAGGGAGCGTCTCCCGCTCTGCTTGACAGTGCTGTCATTATGTCTGTCATCTGTGGCCGGTGTTGCAGGTTTTGACGGCACCCTATGGTTTGAGTGTCTTCCTGGGGTACTAACACAGCTTCCAGTCAAGTCTTTTCCAGCTCCCCGCTGACTGGACAAGAAAAGGAAGAGCAGTATTAAGATGTGTCTGCGAACAGGGAGAGCACCAGAGCATGCTGACCAAAAAAAGGAAAGAAAAACCTCTTGGCTGGATTACTGTCAATCCTCACATGTGGTTTTATTTTTCCTCAGTTGCTTTTTAAAGCTGAATAGCTAACATAAAATATTTTCCCCTTCACTTCAGAGACAAACAAAAGGAGGGAAAATTCCAGCCCACAGCCTAGCGAGAAAAGAGACAACCTGGTACCAAAAATAGTGTTACAAATTAATCAATTTTTACGGATGAAAATACATTTATCGTGCATCTTCATACTAAGACACAGCACCTGCTTATGGAGCTGAATGGCAAGGAGGGACGGACGGTGCTGTAATTGTTAAGGTATGGTCTTGGAATTTACGACTCTTTGGGGGTATGCCCATTACAGGCCAGCCACTGCTGAGTTAATTGGTAACAAAGTCATACTTTGTGACTAATACTCAAAACTGAGGCAAATGGCTGCTCCTGCAGAACGCACATGGAAAGACAAGTTGTT